GGAATTGGATTTAGATGTTGATTACAAAATAAGTAGCTAAATATATTACCAAAATATTATATGCCAAAAATTACGGGTTCTCCCAGTTAGGTAATTTGTATGTCATTTCATTGACAGTAATATTGTCTCTCTGTAGATAAATGAATAGAGGAGGAATATAGAGAGGAATATTATATGTATTTGATGTATATGTTGTGTTTGTAGCTGGTTCAGGGGCTCTTATAAGGAGAGTTTACGAACATGCATCAAGAACCGAACAGCAAAGACCCATGATTACGCTTGAGACATTTACAGCATAAACATTTATAATACATTAACAGCCCCTCAACTCAAGGGGATAGGAAACTAAACCAACTTGAGTTTGAAGAGGTCAAACGCTGAAAATAACTTGACAAATAAATAAAATAGATAGGGGGACCGGTGATGACCGTGTCAGATCGTTGTTGAAGACACGGTATGGTCTGTCACACGTGTTGGAGAAGACATGTAATGTTTGCTGTCGGGACGTTGTAGTAGATAATTGTCTGGCAGTTCGAGGTCATGTCGGACGAGTTAGAGTCTAACGGATCAATGTCGGGACAGTTTCGGGGTCATGCCGGGACGGTTGTTAAAAGCTGACGGACTCAATGTCGGGACAGTTTACGGGGTCATGCCGGACGATGTAAAAGACTTTGGTGGTGCACCAAGGGGGCGACTTAGGGAGTGCGCCATGGGGTGGCTTGGGTGGTTCCCATAGTATATAACCATGCTCACCATGATATATGTATAACCCCCCCTCAAACACAAATAGGTGTGAAGATAGAAACCTATTTGAGGTTGAAACAAAGGGATGAATAAAGTAGAGTAAAACAGCTCAACACAAAGTGAAGATATGGAAAAAAAAAATGATAGAAAGGGTTTTTTTTTTTTTTTTTTGTCGGTTGTGGTTTAAAAATGTGATCAGGGTTGATCCTGATATGAATAAAGCAAGTGGGTTGTGCAAACTCGAATGGTAGGTGTGGTAAAGGAAAAAAAAATCAACTGGAATGAATGTTTTTTTTTTTTTTTTTTTGTGGAAAAATAATAATAATAAGAAATAAAATGAAGTGGTGGAAGCCAGTGGAATCAATGAAGGCTAGTATAAAATATGTTAGTGGGGAAAAGAAAGATGGGTATGTTGATTAAATAATAAAATAAAAGTGGGTAGTGGGGAAGATGAGTGTAAAGAAAAGTTGAGTGAGAAAAGTGTGGTTGGTATTTGTTAGTAGCCACGTCTTGGACAGATCAAACACTGTGGGAAAAGTTGAAAAAAAAAAAAGTTGAAAATATGAGGGGGAGAATGGGGACAAGCCCATGTGAGTGAAAGAGGGGTTTGAGTTTGGAAAGAAAGAGATAAAAAGTGGAGCATCTCTGCTGTGCGACCCCATCATCAGTCTCACACAACAAAGGAGGAGAGAGACAGAGCCCCTGTGATTTGCCATTTTTTTTTTTTTCACATGATTCACATCACCTGTGATTTGCCGTCACCATCACGTGCCAACCCTTCGGTTCCTGTGTGTTCTTCGAGAGGGAGAGAAGAGGAGAGCCCAGGTCTCCACCCTCTATCAGAGATATATATCTATAGATGTATTTGGGTGGTGCAGAGAGAAACCGAAGAGAGAGTTGCCGAGAGAGAGAGGTTGGTTTCTTCATCTCTGAGAGAGTTTATGCATGTATGTCTGTGCGTGCTGCTCTCTCTCTAAAACCGTGTGTGTGTGAATGGTCTGTTGGGTCTGCCGTGTGGTGGTTATGCTAGGTGTGTGTTGGTGTGAGTGGTGTGGTGTGCCGAGAGAGGGGGAGGGAGAGATCCGTGCCTCAGTGTCTCTCCATATCAGTGTTGAAGCTCTAGTGTGTGCATGGAAGGAGAGAGAGTGACCCGTGGGTGTGTGGCTCTACATGGAGTTGGATGAATGTGAGGAGACTACACTGCATGATGTTAACATTGAGGACGAGATGCGTCGGAAACAGTAACAGGCCCAAGAGGCATACGATGAGGATGATGATATGCATGGTTGTGGTGCCCACAGGGTGCAGTGTGCGCAGCAATGATTGCTGCATCAGGGAAGAAGTGGGAGGAGCTTGAGCCGGCGCTGCTTGAGGCCGAGATAATTGCGGCGGAACTTCGCCGGAGTGAGATCGAAGAACATGGTGACACCGTGTACGGCAGAGGGATTGAGAATCTGAGTGCAGAGCCAGCCGGTGGCCATGTCGAGGTCGCTCTGCATGAGGAGCTTCCCAACAGAGTGGGATGGATCGGAGCATTTCGGACCATGGTGAAACCATGGTGGTGCTCAGGTTCACTGAATGGAATCTTGGAGGGTCATAAGGATGTGTCCATGACTTCGGTGATTGAGTCGGAGGATGAAAATGTTGTTATGGAATTGGATTATAGATGTTGATTACAAAATTTAAGTAGCTAAATATAATTACCAAAATAATTTAATATGCAAAAATACGGGTTCTCACAGTCTAGGTAATTTGTATGTACAAAATTTCATTGAAAACAGTAATATTGATCTCTCTGTAAGATAAATTGATAGAGGGAGAAATATAGAGAGAATAAATTATATGTATTATGATTGATATATGTTGTGTTTTGTACAATGGTTCAGGGGCTCCTTATAAAGGAGAAGTTTACAAACAATGCATCCAAAAGCAACCGAAAGCAAAGACCCCATGATTACAGCTTGGACACTTTACAGCTAATAACATATAATACATTAACAGCCCCCCTCAAACTCAAGGAGGATAGGAACTAACCAACTTGAGTTTGAAGAGAGTAACAAAACGTGAAAATAAACTGACAAATAAAATAAAATAGGATAGGAGACACGGTATGACCGTGTCAGATCGTTGTTGAAGACACGGTATGGTCGTGTCACACCGTTGGAGAAGACAATGTATGGTTGTGTCGGACCGTTGTAGTAGATAATGTCTGGACAGTTTACGAGGTCATGCCGGACCGATGTAGAAGCTAACCGGAATCAATGTCGGGACAGTTTACGGGGTCATGCCGGACCGGTGTAAAAGCTGACCGGAATCAATGTCGGGACAGTTTACGGGGTCATGCCGGACCGATGTAAAAGACTTTGGTGGTGCACCAAGGGGGCGACTTAGGGAGTGCGCCATGGGGTGGCTTGGGTGGTTCCCATAGTATATAACCATGCTCACCATGATATATGTATAACCCCCCCTCAAACACAAATAGGTGTGAAGATAGAAACCTATTTGAGGTTGAAACAAAGGGATGAATAAAGTAGAGTAAAACAGCTCAACACAAAGTGAAGATATGGAAAAAAAAAAAATGATAGAAAGGGTTTTTTTTTTTTTTTTTTGTCGGTTGTGGTTTAAAAATGTGATCAGGGTTGATCCTGATATGAATAAAGCAAGTGGGTTGTGCAAACTCGAATGGTAGGTGTGGTAAAGGAAAAAAAAATCAACTGGAATGAATGTTGTTTTTTTTTTTTTTTTGTGGAAAAATAATAATAATAAGAAATAAAATGAAGTGGTGGAAGCCAGTGGAATCAATGAAGGCTAGTATAAAATATGTTAGTGGGGAAAAGAAAGATGGGTATGTTGATTAAATAATAAAATAAAAGTGGGTAGTGGGGAAGATGAGTGTAAAGAAAAGTTGAGTGAGAAAAGTGTGGTTGGTATTTGTTAGTAGCCACGTCTTGGACAGATCAAACACTGTGGGAAAAGTTGAAAAAAAAAAAAAAAAAAGTTGAAAATATGAGGGGGAGAATGGGGACAAGCCCATGTGAGTGAAAGAGGGGTTTAAAGAAAGTGAAGGAGTGGGTTGATTAAAAAAAAAAAGGATTGTGGGTTTGAAAGTGGAAAGATGAGAGAGAGAGAGAGAGTGAATTTGTTTGCTTTAACAAGATGACAAACTTGGGCACAAGTCTTTGTGACAACATTGCATTTTTCTGCCTCCCTCTGATACTGGGAAACTACCCTTCTTGCTTCTGCAAAGGTAATGTTCATATGGTGAGCATGCTTCAATGCAAACTCCCTCTGACACAAGTATCTTGGATCTGTATTACGCAAAACCCCATGTCCAAATCCAGGAACAACCTTTCCACTGTTCAGTGTTTTCCAAACATAGTCTTTCAACTGGTCCGTGGTTATGTTCTCACCACACTCCTCTACCACAGATTTGATCCATAGCAGAACTTCCTGATTAGCCAAGCCATGGAGTGGTCCAGCCAAACCATTTAATGCAGCTGCAAATGAAAGGTACGGATCTGAAAGGGCACTAGCTACTAGATGACCAGTGTGAGCACTAACATTCCCACCTTCATGGTCAGTGTGAATGGTGACATAAAGCCTCATAAGCTCCTGCATGTCAGGACTATCAAATCCAAGCATGTGGGCAAAATTTCCACCATAATCTAGGGAATCATCCTTGGGTATAACTTGCCCATTCTTGTAAATCCTGCGATAGACATAAGCAGCTACTATTGGTAGTTGAGCAATCAAACTAAGAGAGTCCTCATATGTTGGCTCCCAGTACTTCGATTTATGGATCCCCTTCTCATATGCTTTCTGGAATTCACTCTGTACCTGAAGAGCCATGACACCCATTGCAAACTGGGTCATTGGATGAGCTGAAACAGGAAGGGCATCAATAGCTTTGTACACATGATCTGGAACTGTGGCACGGCTTCGTAATTCCTTGGATAATGCATCTACTTGCTCTTTATTTGGTACCTTTCCTGTTAAAAGGAGCCAAAGGAGACCCTCAGGCAATGGCTCCCCACCAGGCTTTGCCGATAGATATAGATATAGATATTTATATTTGTTTTAAATATGTTTTAAATATACAAATTATTTGTTTTTACATTTTTTATAAAAAATAATTTAACAATCTTATCACTAACCATAATGTATGGGAAACGTTGAAAAGAGTGTTGCAATATGAAAGAAGTCAAAAACAATTGCGGGCTTGGAGAAATCAATAAATATTGAGGTTTTTTTCATAAAAAAAAAATAAAAAAATTAGAAAATTAAGATTGGGATATTAATAGTGTGAGATATTTTCAAGTCATATTTGTTTAGATAGACTTTATAGACTTTTAAAATTTAAAATTGGATATTGAGAGACAAAATAAATATTTTAACTGAATACATAAAAATCAAATTTATTAATTTTATTTGTTTGTATATTTGATTTTTATTTATTTTTTTGTTATGTTATAATATAATATATAAGATATAAATAGATACTCACAACTTCATGAAAAATATAAAGGAATGCAAGTTTTAATATTGTTTTTTGAAAATTGGAGAGAGAAATTATGATGGAGAGATTATGAAATATTTGTATTATATTCCCATTTAATCCATAAATTAATGAATAATTATTATTTCTAAAATAATTAAATAAATAAATCAGCTAAAAGATTTTTATAATCTATTTTATAAATTGAAAAATCAATAATTTTAGAATGAGAGTTTGGAGCTCTTAAAAGGCTTAGAAGCCCCATTTTCCTTGTATAATATAGATATAGATATAGATATTTATATTTGTTTTAAATATGTTTTAAATATACAAATTATTTGTTTTTACATTTTTTATAAAAAATAATTTAACAATCTTATCACTAACCATAATGTATGGGAAACGTTGAAAAGAGTGTTGCAATATGAAAGAAGTCAAAAACAATTGCGGGCTTGGAGAAATCAATAAATATTGAGGTTTTTTTCATAAAAAAAAAATAAAAAAATTAGAAAATTAAGATTGGGATATTAATAGTGTGAGATATTTTCAAGTCATATTTGTTTAGATAGACTTTATAGACTTTTAAAATTTAAAATTGGATATTGAGAGACAAAATAAATATTTTAACTGAATACATAAAAATCAAATTTATTAATTTTATTTGTTTGTATATTTGATTTTTATTTATTTTTTTGTTATGTTATAATATAATATATAAGATATAAATAGATACTCACAACTTCATGAAAAATATAAAGGAATGCAAGTTTTAATATTGTTTTTTGAAAATTGGAGAGAGAAATTATGATGGAGAGATTATGAAATATTTGTATTATATTCCCATTTAATCCATAAATTAATGAATAATTATTATTTCTAAAATAATTAAATAAATAAATCAGCTAAAAGATTTTTATAATCTATTTTATAAATTGAAAAATCAATAATTTTAGAATGAGAGTTTGGAGCTCTTAAAAGGCTTAGAAGCCCCATTTTCCTTGTATAATATATAGATAGATATAGATATTTATATTTGTTTTAGATATTTTTTTATTTTTTATAGAAATAATTTAACAATCTCATCACTAACTATTGTGTATGAGAAAAGTTGAAAAGAGTGCAGCAATAACTATGAGAAAAGTCAAAAAGACTTGTGGATTGAAGGGAAGTCAATAAATATTGAGTTTTTTTTTAAATGAAAAAAATAGAAAATTAAGATTGAAATATTGAAACTTCTACAAGACTTGTGAATTAAAATTTTCATTTTTCTTATATAATATATAGATAGATGTGAAATAAATCAAATTATTTATTATTTTGTCAAGTAAAAAGTCAAAGCTTAAACATGTTTTGAACCTTAATATATTTTTGAGTGAATTTTGAATTCAGCTCAATTAATTTAAACACATTATGAGAGAGAGAAAAAATTCAACTATTCAAGTTTACCTTGATTAAAATTAGCATTAGACTAGTAAATTGGCCAAACTTAAATATATTTGAAAGTTGAATATATGCGGAAGGGATTTGGTTTCTCTTGTATTGAGATCTGAATATGGGAGAATTTGAGGGGCTCATAGGGTCTACTACAGTTTTCGTTTTGATGATTCAAACCGTTCATTTTATAGAATCCTTAATGTATATTGTGGTAGTGTCCATCCCACATCGTTCCGTGAAGAAACCACACCCCACTACATAAGTGGACTAACTCCTTCAAATTAGCATAAGGCCTTTTCCTAAGGAAATAATAAAGCCATGACGTTACTTCATTTGACACCGTCTGTGGGAACTCCCTTTTTAGAAAGCCTTTTCCCAAGAAAAGCTCAAAGCCGTGAGAACTGCTTCATTTATCATCCATTAAAAGTTTTAAGTCAATCTAATAATCGTGACATTTTCATCTTATAGCATTTGTCTCTATAAAAATTGTAAATCAAAGTATAAAACGCAGCGGGAAAAAATATTTAGATCATACCTTGTGATGATAGAACCTCGTGGGTAAATCACGTGCTTCTAGAATCTGAACAACGAATCCAAGAACAACGAACCCAGCAGTTGAGTAATACTACAAAATGAGTATCATCCACACAAGTCACAGTGCAAAATGACTTAATCGTTGTTTAATGGGAGAGAGTCAAAGAGAGAGTTTGGGAAAAAAGGTTATGGGTAAAAAACCACATAACGTATTTGATATACGTATCTGATATATCAATATATTATCTAAAATATATAATCAGATATATAACTGTAGACACCCCATTTTTGACCGTCCTTAAGACTTGGGTGCTATTGATGGTTTGCTCGATGATGAAAGGTGTGCAGGGCAAAGGTTCAATTTCTTCGGCAATGAGAAGGTCAAATCCCAACTTCACACCCCATTTTGGACCAAAGCTATTTTGAATGGTTTTTAGACCTTAAAACCCACTCTTTCAAAACATTTTTGAAGTAAAGTTTCTACGATGTTCCGAGGCTCACATTTTGTCAAAAAATGTGCTTTTCGATAAACCGAGTAAGGACAAAATGGAAATGAATGAAAGAGAGACGAAATATTTTAAAATTATTTCAAAACACCTTGCTTAGGGGTTTGAAGTTGAAGAAAAGAGGAGAAGAGGGGAGAAGCCAAGTTGGAGAAGAAGATAGGCAAGAATTGCTAAGAGAGAGACGAGCAGTTCTCGCTAAATCAAGCTTATTTGTCTATACACTTTGAGTTAAGGTATGAGGCCACCACCGTTGGAAAGAAAACTTCCCGGGCTTCATTTTTAATTTAAGAATCTCTTAAATCCGAGACCGGAGGGCGGAGATATGATTGGTTGAAGTTGGGCATCATCCCGGTTGGACCGAAACTGAGCAGCCTTCACTAAAACAAGCATAACTTTTTGCACAGTTGGAATTTTGATACAAGGATGGTTCCATTGGAAAGATTATTTCCGGGGCTTCAATTTTGACACAAGAATGACTTGAAAATGAGTTCATATGAAGAAGTTATGCCCATTTGAAGTTGGACCTGCAGAGTAGATTTTTCCTGCCAACCGGCCAAAACAAATGGCCGACCGACCAAATAGATGGCCGACCGGCCAGAAAAGATGGCTGACCGACCAAGTTTGCTAGCCGATGACCTTCCGGATTATTCTACAGATTGAATGGATGCCAGCTGTGGCAGCTGGAATGCACAGACTCTGTTCCCCATGCACGTGTGTGGCTGTTTTGCACCCTTTTGACCCTTTTTTTGCACCCTTTGCTCAAAGCTTCTTGAGGAAGCTTTGACCCCTTGTCTTGGCTTCATCAAGAAGCTTGCACCTTTGCATT